AACATGGCCGTACGCTAAATAAGTGGCCGGGATGGGTGAGACAGAGGGCGAGAGATAGTATGAAACTAATTTGGCTGTAAGCGGCGATTAGGCGTCCCCGAAGTACGCGCAGGGATGAGACAGAGGATGGACCAGCGCTCGTCAAAATCTAAAGTAAATCCTAATCGGATTAGCATGAGTCGACTCAACGCCCGAGCAGCTTTTGTTCCCAAGTTTCAACGACGGAGTCTTGGGTTTCTTGGAGCGTGCGTCTCCTTTATCCAATGAGCTAACGACTCGGAGTCTCAAGACAGGAAAATTGCAACAGCGAAGAGGACGGAAGAAGCGCGGGTGGCGTGCGGCGCAAGAAGAATGATTTATTTTTGGCTTCGACGGTAAATGAAAAGAACTTTTTTAATAAACAAGTTGAAATTGGTAGATATTTAAAATGATATAGCGGACATTAAGCCGGGCATTAAGAAGATTCGCGTGAGAATGCGCGAATGAATGTGTTTTAAGGGAAAAGACGATGAATAAATGCTAAAAGAAAAAAAGAAATACATTCATATAAGAAAACGAGGAGAAAATAAAGGATAAGAGAGAAGGAGAGAGAGAGATAGAAACATAAGCATCGGATATCGCGTCGAGGGGTTTAGTCATAATAGGGTTGTTTCAGCTCTCTCTCCGAGAGCGGTATAGTATACAGCGGAGATGCAATGGATTCCGGGCTCCTTCCTTCCATCCACACATACACAGACGCGCACTCTCGCTACGTCCGTCGCTCGATTCTCTCTATATCGGAGCTCCGTGTGGCTCGGAATTAACTCGAGCTCGACCGGTGGACGTGGCGCTCGCGCGCGTCGAAGCGTAAAACGAAGCGCCGCCGCGGCGTTTCGATGCCGATGGCCTTTCCGCCTGTGAGACGCACCCCTATTCGATTACGTTTCTCCCGCCCGCGACTCTAAAGCCTGTCCGAGAGAGAGAAGTCCGAGATACTCTCAGACTCGGAGCATTAACGTGAGGACGGATTATTTAAGTTAGCGACACGAGAGACCAGTTTCTGCGACATTCGACTGAGTTCTGATTAAAAGAAAACAATGCCCGATCGCTCGACTTTGAAGCGCGCTTTGTTTTAACACAGTCTTCGCACTTAATGCATGAACATTTACCCCGTGAACCAAGCTAATCTCTTGACGAAGTACGCCTGCAGTTCATCGATTAATTTCTTCGACTGGAAACTGAAATTTATGATGCCTCTAATGTCCGGATAGATAGGAGTAATTCGTGAAATGGATGAGATAAGATAAATCAAAATAAAGATTGATGAAATAAATTAAAAAGAAAACAGACTGATCGATTATTATGAAAAAGTATTTGTTTTAATTAATATTATATATGATAATAAAATTCATGACGCTAATTTCATTAATAATTTTTTTATACACAGAATATTCTCTCTATTTTTATTCGAACGCAATATCGTCAAAATTATTAGTGATATTAAAAAATACTTTCAATAAAAATTAAAGAATTTTAAGAGAGAGACATTAGCTTTAATAGATAAAAATTCTTTTATAAATGGAAGCATTTCGGGTATTTTCAAATAAAATTATATGTTTTTTATGTAATTTCTACTATTGAACTTATTATCGATTTATCAATTGACTTCAAATAGTTTATTTTACAATTCCATTTATTGTTAGCCATTATGCGTCAATAACTATTATACGAGATAAAAAAGTGAAGAAAATAAAAAATGGTAAAGCCGGTTTGTGCCTTGTGTATCTGATTATTTTACCGCTACGCAATTACGATATTACGATATTCACGCTTATCTACGCGCCCGTCGTAAAGTTAAAAAGAAATTATCTAGAATCCCATCGTCGGTCCTTATCTAAACAGAACACAAAATCCGGCGACCCGCATTTTAAGTCAACTTAATAGCCGATCGATGGTCAAATTGAGTTAAAGTTTCGTGAAAGCTTCTCCTCGCTACGATGCGCCATGGACTCCTCCTTGGAGACCGACGAGCTATTGCTTCGATTCTATTAAGAGACAAGAGCAACGAGCCCATTTTGGACTTTCGGCGCTTCCCAGAAGCTGCCTCTCGAACTTCCGGTTCCGCACGGTACGACAAAACCGACACGGTGGATACGCACCGCTGGCGATCGAAGGCGTTATGGGACAAAGTTGTAAATCACTTATTAGGGTTAGCAGACTTGGAGGAACAAAATGCATTACGTGCATGCTAGCTGAAGAGCTTAATGAACTTATACGAGAACTTACATCTTCGACTGACAGAATCGTCAAAGAAAATCACTTTAATGACAATAATTTTGTGAAATAGTTTTGCTCAATGTTTATTAAATAATTCAATTTAAAGTTAAACGTTGCGTAGAATAGAATAAACATACTTATTGTTTATTCAACTTAAATTAATGCGAGCGTGATTGTTTAAACATTAATATCACATTTATTCACGAGATCCTATTTAAATATTTTCAATACAACGGTTTATGCATAAGCGCGCGCGGTAATTACGTTTGATTTCGCCTCCACGCCGGATTGGCATAATGTTGTTCGCCATTATGGAAACGCGAAACGTTGTTGCATAACTTCCTACAAAGTGGAAATTGAACTTTCTGTACGGTTTGACGCGTCTCTCGTATCGATTTGGTACCGAGTATTAATTACTGCATTGTGATATCCATTCCGCGCCGTCAAGTTGCTCGCGTTATGAACGCGATGGCGATTATTTTACACGAAATGAAATAACATCACGACGCTGTTATGCAACGTGCATGTAAAAGCTCATTGGAATTCAAAATCTATGTATATCGCTTCATTACAAATAAATACAAAATAACGATATTGTATATGTTATTAGATAAAAATACTAGGAAACCTGCCTAGATTAATATTTAAAAAAATAAAAACTTTTTTATTTAAAATTATATCGATTACTTCGCTTCCGCTGCATCGTAATTTATCGTTAAAAACTAATTGTTACAGGATTATCAATGAAAAGCACATTTGCATTTTATAACAAATTCAATTCATTATGCAACATATAATTCACTATTATTTATAAAAAATTTTATTTGCGTAAAAAAGGGAACAAATAAAAAAAAGATTATCCATTTTCACACGCAATAAAATTATTTTATTCATACAAAAATTTATTTAAAAAAAAATTGAAAATTGATACCATCGGCATATTTGGATTAAAATTGATTTGAAAACAAAAGGTATCAATGACACAAAAAACTTTAACTAATACTTCAATTAATAAAAAGTATATTTATTTTTCGGTTTTTGAACTAATTATTTTTAAATGAACATTTAATGGCACAAGTTCGCTAATAGCATGATAATTGAAATAGCGAGCATAATTTTTTTACCTGCATAATTCTCTTATCAATATCTTTTATTCAGATAAAAATTTCACGCAAACGTGAAACGGTATGAGATTAAGCAATCATAATACGTAATTGTTATTGGAACAAGAAAACTTTCGACTGCAATTATCGACGATTTTGCAAATAATCTATGAGCTTTGTTATCCAGGAAAATTCGACTTGGCAATTTAACGGTTACATCGACGGAAGAGCGAATCGAACTACAGACAAGCCGGCCAATCGACGATGCTCTCAGAGCGATCGTTTACAGAGGATCGCTTTCAATGGTCTGCTGATTGTACGAGTGGTCGCTCGGCCCTGGATTAACGACTATTCTTGGGACCAGCTCGTCCAATCGTAGCGACGATCGACACCGAGTATCGGCGGGCAGTTCCGCCGAGTTTCCTCGATCGAGCGCAATTTTGTGAAAGTTTAACGAGCCTCGAACTAGTTTCCGCGCGAAAAGTTCAAGTTTCCACTCGCGAAAAACGAAGACAGTTGCCGACGCGAGATCGCGAGATTTATATTGCTACAAAAAAAAGTGTCTATTCGTAGCGCTCGTTTGTCCGACAATCGCGATACTATCGCGACTGATTGTTCCATTGCAAACAGTTGTAAACTGCAATCGCAAATGTGTGTTTCTGTATTTTCCGATGTTGACGATTACATTTCCGTGAAGCGCGGGTTAAGTTCGGAAAGTATATGTGGAAAATGATTGCTGCAGATGTTTCTTTTTTATTTGTGCTTAACAAACCTAGAGTTAGTTCCCACGCGAAAAGAGTTTAAGTATTTTTTAAAAATAAAAACCGCCAAATCAATATTTCAAAATATACGCTACGAGAAAGTTGCTCTGTCCGTAACTTTTATCTATCAAATAATCGCGATTGATCGCAACTATTGCGACTAGATTGCTCCACAAACGTTTGCAATTCTCACTGCCATGTCATATTTCGAATACCGATTATACTAGTACACAGTAGATGAAAAAATATTTATTTTTTGTAAGTTTTTAAAATAAATTGACAACAAATATGTATTTGATGTCACGATTAGAAAATTTTAGAACGTTTTAATAATCATAGTTATAGAACAAATAAATTGACGGAATTATTCGAACCGTTTTGAGACTAATAACAGAATATATTCGTAGTTCGCGCAAAAAAAAGCGGTTTGAGCACAATTTTGCAAGAGTTTAACGAGTCTCGAGTTAGTTCCATACCAAAAGTCTAACTACTTCTGCGAAAACAGCCAAATCGATTTCTTGAGATGTAGATCGCGAGAGAGAGAGAGAGAGAGAGAAGATTGCTATGCGTACTTTCCCTCAACTCTATACCCGTAACAGCAATTATAAACAAGTTGTTTCGCAAACAGAATTGCAAACTGCGACTGCGTTTCAGCACTTTAGATATGTACGATTAAATTAAGATTTAAAAGCTATCCAACTTCTATTTCCAGAACATAAAGAACGTGAAAATATCAATAAAATGACTTACCAAGATTAATAGCAATTAGTGCGAAAAATACGCATTAGTTAATTCATTATTTAATCTTGAGCATAAGCGTTGCGCATACACGTCACTCTCACGAAACCTGTCGCAGCGATTAAGGACGACATTTACTTACCGATAACGGTGAGGTTAACTTTGAAGTTTCTCGTCGGCGAGTTCCGAAAGTCGACCCTGCACCTGTAAACACCCTCGTCACTCTCTCGGAGATCTTGAACTGTCAGCTGTGCTGGTGGATTCGCGCGAAAAGATGCTCGGTGACCCCAAAAATTCTGGGCGCTCCAGAGCTTCGCCTTTCCAAACTGGCGACTTCTCGCGTCATAACTGCAACATAATAATCGCAAAAATATGTTAGCAAAATTTCGACATAGTAAATATAGATGACAAGACGTTGAGAATAATTAATATTATTTAATTCGTACGATAAAAATTTTAAATGTATAAGATATTTCATTAAGAAAAAGAAATAAAAGAACAATACATAGAACTGTAAAATGTTCTAGAATAAAGCACCAACTCTTAAGTGAAGCATTATAGAAGATTTATGCAGTTGATTAATGTAAAAAAATTTCAAAGTGAGTTCTTATCGCGCTCTGCAATGCACATTGCGTTTACAGTTAGAAGTCTGTTTGCGACTGATATACTTTGTCCGACGAGCCCAGCTTTCGCGGTATGTCCTCGGGCCGTGCATACAAATCACAGGATTACTGCCGCGAAATATGTCCCGCTCGCGGAGTTTAAATACCGCAGTTTCGCGTGTCACAAATCGCGGCGCCAAGTCGCGTAGCTCGCGACGCCGTCCGCCGCACGATATTCGCATTTGTCAGCTCGGCGGAAACTTTCTCTCCCAGGACAGAGTTATTTTAAAATCTTCCCTCGCGCAGACAGAGAGAGAGAGAGAGAGAGAGAGAGAGAGAGAGAGAGAGAGAGAGAGAGAGAGAGAGAGAGAGAGAGAGAGAGAGAGAGAGAGAGAGAGAGAGAGAGAGAGAGAGAGAGAGAGAGAGAGAGAGAGAGAGAGAGAGAGAGAGAGAGA